CAGTTTTATAAGAGAGGGCCTTAGTTCCCACGAGATCTATGTGCCGCACAGCGTGAGGTCAGTACGTGTTCATCCTAAAGCCCTTCTTGGTTTTTGGTTAACTGACACTAATAAATTTTTACAAGGGCTGTGCCATTCTGGGAAGTATAAAACTGAAGCATTAAAACCACGGAGGAGTCTAAAGAGATTATCTCCTATAAAGAATCACACGTGGCCGGGAACTGTGGCTCATGCCTGTAATCCCAGCACTTTGGGAGACCGAGGTGAGGGGATGGCTTGAGTCCAGGAGTTCCAGAGCAGCCTGGACAAGAGAGAAAAATACTGTCTCTACAAAAAAATACAGTAAATTAGCTGGGTGTAGTGGCATGCACCTGTAGTCCCAGCTACTGGGGAGGCTGAGGAGGGAGGATCAATTGAGTCCGTGAGGTTGAAGCTGCAGTGAGCCAATGATCCCACCACTGCACTTCAGTGTGGGCAGCAGGGCAAGACCCTGTCTGAAAACAAGCAAACAAACAAAATAAACCCCACAGAAAACCAAAACTCATTTGCCTGGTTTAGAGAGGAGAGAGCTGCAGTTCCGAGGGGTGAAGTAACTTGTCCTGCCAGAGACTCAAAGCCGCACACCTGGGCGTCTCACCACCCCACCATCTGACACTGTTTTCCCTGGGAGTGTGATGCTGGGGGGGTCTTACGAGGTCAGGCATCCTCAGGACTCTGTTCATGTAGTATTTATGCTTCGAGTCACCATGCCATCTGTTTTGTAGAAAACCATCTCTTCTTCCACAGCTTCCCCAATCAGATTTGTGATTTTGCTTATTAAGCTCAACAATTCACACATTTCTGAATTTCTCTGTGGGTGCACTGTCGGCAATGCCTAACCAGTTGAGAAGCCCTGGAAGGTCCTTCGGGCTCGGGGAGAAAACCCCTCCTGGAGGCACTGCAGACGGAGAGAAGGATGCAGCCTCTGGAACCTCAATTAAGTCCAGAGATGAGTTCTCTCTCTGCCTTCCATCTCCCCCTCTCTTGTTCTCTCTTTCAGTCTCGGCTGACTCTGAACCTGTCACTTGTGGCAAACACAGCTGGTGGAGTATTTTAGCTGTGATGATGTCAGCTGATTTCTGATAGGCTCCTCGGTAAAGTGACAAATCTGGTTGCGTCAGGGCCTTGCACTTATGTTTCTACAGCATGAAGCCCCAGCTGCCTTTTCAGCAGCTCTCAGTGCGCTTGCCTTTCCCAGCATGCAGCACAGCCACGCGGGGCCGACCCCACACACCTGCCAACAGGACCTGACCACACTCCTACCTGCTCGTCGGCACCCCGGCTTCAGCAGAGAGACTCAGTGATCTCACTGTGGGGAAAAACATGAGAAGAGGGCTCTGACTTCACAGGGGAGCCCATTTCTCTATCAGGTAATCATGAATTTTGCAAAGTTTAGAGTAGGGAAAAACACACCTAGATTCTTCCTGTCCAAACAGAAGAGGGCTGTAAGGGACTGGGCACGGTGGCTCACTCCTGTAACCCCAGCACTTTAGGAGGCTGAGGCACTGGGGGATTACCTGAGGTCAGGAGTTCGAGACCAGCCTGGCCAATATGGTGAAATCCCGTCTCCACTAAAAATACAAAAATTAGTAGCGGGTGGTGGTGCTTTCCTGTAATCCCAGCTACTTGGGAGGCTGACACAGGAGAATCACTTGAACCCAAGAGGCAGAGGTGGCAGTGAGCCAAGATCGTGCCACTGCACTCCAGCCTGGGTGACACAGTGAGACTCTGTCTCCAAAAAAAAAAAAAAAAAAAAAAAAGAAGAGGAAGAGGGGAAGAGGGCTCTGGGGCTCTCGGAGCCTGCACTCTGCAGAGGCTGCCAGATCTAGGAGGTGTGGCCCACAGCTGAAGTGACTGCCTTCATTCTCACGCTGACGGAGATGCTGGCCGGCAAGGAACCATTTTTAAACAAAACCTCTTTTCACACCTGCCTCTCTTCACAAGCAAGTTTTAAGGATTCTAAGTACCATGGCAATGACTCTTCACTGATGGGTTTATTTTCCGTGTGACACCTGGAGTCTGTGAAGAGTCAGCTTTGCTTAAGGCAGTTCATTTTCTTTCTCCTAGTACTCACCCATAATTCATGCAGGAAGTAAACAGCAGCTACAGAGAGGTAGTGAGCTCTATTTATGCCATCTTTTAAAAATCCTGATTTTTTTCTTTTTTTTGAGATGGAGTCTTGCTTTATTGCCAGGCTGGAGTGCAGCGGCGCGATCTCGGCTCACTGCAACCTCTGCCTCCTGGGTTCAAGCGGTTCTCCTGCCTCAGCATCCCAAGTAGCTGGGATTACAGGTGTACACCATCACACCCGGCTAATTTTTGTATTTTTAGTAGAGACAGGGTTTCACCATGTTGGCCGGGATGGTCTCGATCTGCCGACCTCTTGACTCGTCCGCCTTGGCCTCTTAAAGTGCTGGGATTACAGGCGTGAGCCACTGCACCTGGCCAATTTTTTTTTTAAATCACATCTTTGGGAAAATCTTTCTTGGGCCCTTCCAAAGATTGTAACCTATAGTGATTTCTCACAATTACAAAAGTACTCGGGGCTAACAGCTCTCGGCAATGCGGGACCCCGGCTTGGTGCAAACCCCACATCCAGTCATTCATGAGCAGTTCTAGAAAAATAACTTGGTCCTTTCCTCACTTGGCCTTTTAAACAACGTTCAAAAAAGCCAGGCATAGGGACTATGTCTATAATCTCGGGGCTTTGGGAGGCCAAGGCAGAAGGATTGCTTGAGCCCAGTAGTTTGAGACCAGCCTGGGTAATACAGCAAGACCCCCATCTCTACTAACATGTTTCTTTTTTTCTTTTTAAATTAGCTGGGCATGGTGGTATGCACGTGTGGTCCCAGCTACTAAGGAGGCTGGGGTGGGAGGCTCGCTGGAGCCTAGGAGATCAAGGCGGCAGTGAGCTATGATTGCGCCACTGCATTTCAGCCTAGGTGACAGAAAAACATTGTCTCAAAAATTTTTTTAAAATGCCCAAAGCAATTCAAACCATTAACTAGTTTATCTTTGTTGCTTGTTTTATTTTATCTGAACGTCCCCAATAGCAGCTATTTCATGGCTATTTTCAACTCAGGTTGGAAGGAGGCTCTGTCCCATTTGAGTGTTCTCAAATCCTAGCTGGAAACACTGGTAGAGAGTGTTTCTCCTGCCTCAGCCTCTCGAGTAGCTGGGACTACAGGCGCATGCCACCATGCCTGGCTAATTTTTGTATTTTTAGTAGAGATGGGATTTCAGCACCATGACCAGGTTGGTCTCAAACTCCTGGTCTCCACCGCCAGGGGGCGCTCTCAGCTGCAGACCGAACCTGCTGGACGCCCAGCAACTTGGGCAGTGACAGAAACGGGCTGTGGAATAAATTCATGGAGTCGAGCTAAGAACCTGGAAAAGGGTGGATGGAAGGAGCCTGTGTAAATGAAGAGAGTTAACCGCACTTCCAGTTTCTCCCATGACTCATCTTGGCTACAGCTGACTTTACCCCAAGCCCAGCAGGTGACCTGGGACAGCCCTGACTTTTCAGATTGTATTAACTATGCTTTTATTTTCTGATGCTTTGATATTTTAGGGTCTTTCGGACCCCAGAGGTATAGTCTCCTAGGATTAGCTAATTCCTGGAGATTTCAAAGAACTCACCAGGGAGCGCGACTTTCATATGCAAACCAACCAACCAACCAACCAGTCCAGTGCCCACGCCCCGAGCGCCTCCTCTATCGGCTCCACTGAGGCCTACCTTCTGCCTGTCTTTTTCTTTGACAGGGGGTCTCTGTCGCCCAGGCTGGAGTGCAGCGGCCCCATCTCGGCTCACTGCAATCTCCGCCTGCCGCGTTCAGGCAATTCTCTCGCCTCAGCCTCTCGAGTAGCTGGGACTACAGGCGCATGCCACCACGCCCGGCTAATTTTTGTATTTTTAGTAGAGATGGGATTTCAGCACGGTGACCAGGCTGGTCTCAAACTTCTGACCTCTGGTGATCCACCCGCCTCGCCCTCCTAAAGTACTGGGATTACAGGTGTGAGCCACCGTGCCCGGCCTTTCCACCTGTACTGGTCACCCCGGCACCAACCATCAGACAACTCGGGACAACCTCTATGCTCTGAGCACCCTGGAATTGTCCCCTCTAGCCAATCCTAATCCTGCTTACTCTGCCCCCCACAAAACCACAATACAGGCTGCTGCCTGCCACGTTTCCCCTCACTTCCTCTGCCTCCTGACCACCTGGTGCTTCCCCAGGTGGCCCCCACTTTATGGTGTCGAGTGCCCCTTCCTCTTGGGATCAGAGAGTATAACAAACTATCCCTTCAAAGAGTTGTCTCCTGATCTGTCGGCCTTATCATACCTAAATACTAATAAGACATTATATATATGTTACAGACAGGGTCTTGCTCTGTTGCCCAGCCTTAAGTGCAGTAATGGTCACAGATTCAGCCATAGCTCACTACACCCTCGAACTCCTGGGCTCAAGTGATCCTCCTGCCTCGGCCTCTGGAGTAGCTGGGACCAAAGGCATACGCCACTGTACCCCGCTAATAAGACATATTTTAAAACATGGAAGCTGCCATGGGATGTGATTCCTTTGGCATCTAATGCCCTCACTCCAAAGATATCTTCTGTCTTTTCCTGGTAAGGAAAAGTGCAGAATGATCGCTAGGACCTGAAGTCGGGCAGCCTTTCCCAATCAGGGTTCCTCATCCCAACCACAGAATTCAAAAAATAACCAGAGTGGTGAGTTGCTGAATTGTCTCAAGGACTCCTTCCCTGGCACTTCTCTCCACGCGTGGAGGTTCATTCGTTACACACAGCAGAGGCCCCGGGGAAGTGGGGCTTACTTTTTCCAGAGAACAGCGTGGGGAAAGGCCGTGTCTGTGGTCTAGGTGTAACTGAGGACCCTCAATCCTGCCTCACAGAAGCAACGCGTCTTGCCGGGAGAGGAGGACCGCGCCACCCCGGCCAACGTTACCTGGGCTCGGTGCTCCCCGACGGCGAACTGTATCACGGCCACGCCCGGACTATGGCTGTCTTCGATCCTCTCCACCGTGCTGGAGTCGATCTTCAGGTCGTTGCTTATCTCTGCGCTCTGGATGAAATCTTCTGTTTTTAAGTCTTCCACCTTCTTCAGCTCCCCGTTGGCCAACTGGATGATGGAGCCTTTCATGAAGTAGGGAGGCAGCGTCGGGGGGGCCGCCGCGGGGGAGGCCACGGGCTGCACCACGGGCAGGTGGATCTGGGCCTGCACCATGGCCGGGTAGGCGGCCTGGGTGACCAGGGCCTCCGGGTTGAAGTTCTCGCTCTTGGGAAGGGCGGTGGTGACGAACGTGTGAGGCACTGCAGCAAACTGGGGGGACGACGTGACGATGGCCGGAGCTGCCCCCGACGCTTCCATGTCAGTGCTGCCAACCGGGATGAGCAGGGGTTGTGTGCCGGGGATCACCAGGTGCTGGGGCAGGCTGCCGGCGTAGGGGATCGCTTGCTGCTGGCCGCTCAGGTAGCCGATGACAGGGGGTTGAGTCCCCGCGTAGAAGGCTGTGGCTGGCAGTCCCACCGGGAGTGGCTCTGAAGCACTGTGTGTGGTCTGAATGACCGTGTGGGGTGAGAGCGCGTAGGACCGGTGGCCCGGCTTCCCTAAGTGCAGGCCGCTTTTGTCGTTGAGGGTGGAGGGGGAGGCCTCGCGATGAGTGGCCTGCTGCACCTCCAGGTCGGCCGCGGGCGTGCTGCTGTTGGGCAGGACCATGACAGAGGCCCGGACCCCCGAGGGGTCGCGACTGCTGTAGTCGGAGGGGCTCGGGTGGACCACCACGTGCCTGGACTCGTACGGGTGAGGGACCGACTTGCCACCCGCCTTGCCCAGGCCCAGGTCGGCCGAGGACGGGGCCCCATACCGCCGGCCCTTCTCCATCTCACCGTTCAGGACCTCCTTGGCCTGGATGGCCTGCTGCAGCCGGCTGCTCTCGGCTTTCTTGGTGGCCTCCCGAGGGACAAAGTGGCTGCCGGAGTCGGCGTATTGCATGACGACCTGGGAGGGGGGCCCCAGGGTGAGCGTGTGTGGGATCATCGTCTGATGGGGGTGGAGGTGGATGGGGATGGCTGGAGGAGAGGCGGCGCGGCCGGTGCTCTGCGGAGAACTGGAAATGTGGACGTACTGGCTCTGCTGGGCGGGCGGGGGGGACCCCGGGGTGATGAGCCCCGGAGCCCTGCTGAGGTGCTGCTGCGGCGGTGGCGGCTGCTGCGGCTGCTGCTCAGCCTTGTGTCCCGGCGCCTGGCTCAGACTGCCCATGTTGGCCAACAGAGTGGAATAGGCCTCCAGCTGGGAGCGCTGGGATGGAGTGGTGGCCCCTGCGGCCGAGGCCACCGCACTGGTGACGGGGTTGGCGGTGGGGGGGATCAGCTGTGACGGGATGAAGCTGGCGTAGGTCCCGCTGTACTGGGAGGACCCAATGAACTGGAAGGTGTGCGGCAGGTGAGCGTACTGCACGGGAGACACCGGGGTCCCTGGCTGTGGGGTGGCGTACGCGGCGGGCAGCGTGGTGGCCACGGGGACAGACCTGGGCGCGCTGGGCGGGGAGTAGTCCAGCCCTGTGGACAATGCTTTGTGTAAACCTATTCCCTGTTGTAAACCAAGCTCCGCCGAGGTCCCGGCCGGCCCGTGCCTCCCGCCCCCGTGGCCCCGGCCACCAGGATTGCCCGGCAGCCATGCTGCGCCCTCCACCCGGTGGTTGTCGCTGGGCAGGGCGGGGGCCTTCTCCTCGCTGGACCGGCTGGTGGCGGGGATCTCGCGCTTCTTGGGAGGCAGGCATTCGTTGCTCCGCTCTTGGTTGGATTTCATTTTTCGCCGTCCCCCCTCCACGGTGACTGTTTCACTGTCTGGCTGACTCTGGTTTTAGTCTGATAAACGGAAAGTCACATTTGATTTCTGTAGGGGATCCAGGCTCTTCATGAGGAATCATCTCCCCGTGGGGGCGATCCGCCAGCCGCAGCTCTGGATGCTGGGAAAGGGAGGAGGGCAGTGACAAGGGGAAAAGGAGAGAGAGGAGAAAGGAAAGGAGGGAAAGGACATCAGAACATCAGCACGGGGCAAGGAACATCCTTGGCAAGATTAAGACTAGGCCCCGGACTCCTGCGATCTCCCCAAACCCGAGGGCACCCTGAGCACTGGAGCGGGTAAAACGCTAGCCATGGCGGCTGCGCGTCCCGAAGGAAGGTTACGGAGACACCAGCCAAGTGAACACTCTAACACCTAGACTGTATTCTTTTTTTTTTTTTTTTTTTTTTTTCCTTTTTGAGACTAAGTTTCGCTCTTGCTGCCCAGGCTGGAGTGCAGTGGCGCGATCTCGGCTCACTGTAACCTCCAGCTCACTGCAAACTTCCGCTTCCCAGGTTCAAGTGATTCTGCCTCAGCCTCCCGGTAGCTGCGATACAGGCATGTGCCACCATGCCCAGCTAATTTTGTACTTTTAGTAGAGACAGGGTTTCTCCATGTTGGGTCAGGTTGGTCTCGAACTCCTGGTCTCAGGTGAGCTGCCCACCTCAGCCTCCCAAAGTGCTGGGAGTACAGGCATGAGCCACTGTGCCCAGACCACATAAACTTCTTAATGGAGTTAACAACTCCCCTAAAATGTTCTCAATACCCTCTCTCCATTTTTTTTTTTTTTTTCCTTTTCTTCTTAAAGGGCAGATGATGCAGTTCTTAAATTTTCTTTTCAGAGATGCTGGTTCCATTCCTCACCTCTCCTTTACCTGGCTGGAAAATAAAATGAAGCCCTTGGTGAGCAGACGCCAGCTGGGCCCTGCCCTCAGAACCAGGCGTTGAGAAAAAGCAGGTGAGCAGAGAAAGTGCAAAGCCGTCCTTGCACTTTATTTCTGAATCTTCACCTGCCAGAGCCACTACTCTCCAAGATTCCCCTTTGCTCTGGGTCCGTGTTGGACCTACAATTCCCTCTCCCTTAACACACACACACACACACACACACACACACACACACACACACACGCCAACTCAGCAGAGACTGCCAAAAATAATCCTGTTCTCTGCAAGTTTCAAAAGAATTCCCAGTATGGCCACTCATATGATAACAGAGTGAGACAGTTAAAAACCAAATTTGATTATGGTTAAAAAACCCAAATACCATACAAAAATAGGGCTCCTGCATCGAAAGTTTTCTTTTTCTTTTTTTTCTTTTTGAGATAGAGTCTCACTCTGTTGCCAGGCTGGAGTACAGTGGCACAATCTCGGCTCACTGCAACCTCCACCTCTCGGGTTCAAGTGAATCTCCTGCCTCAGCCTCCCGAGTAGCTGGGACTACAGGTGTGGGCCACTATGCCCGGCTAGTTTTTGTATTTTTAGTAGAGACGGGGCTTCACCACGTTCACCAGGATGGTATCAGACTCCTGACCTCGTGATCCGCTCACCTTGGCCCCTCAAAGTGCTGGGATTACAGGAGTGAGCCACTGCAACCGGCCTGAAAGTTTTCTTAATGAGTTACATGCTTGGTGTGTCTGTCTCTTTCTGCCTCTCCAAGTTGTCTTTGAAGTTTTCATTCACACCATCCCCTCCCTTTCTCCTTGGAAAGGAACAACTCACCATTAACACTAGAGATGACACCCCTTTCGGACAAACCAGATCGGTGTGTTCAAACCCGGACAAACAAACAGCAATCCTGGGGTCAGTTCTTATGGACAAGTATCTCACTAACCACTGAAGTCTGAGTTACTGCTGCTGTGTGGGCACACCACTGCCCAACTGACAAGAGGCTGAACCATCAGTGGAACTGACAAGAACCAGGCTAGCAAGCAGCAGATGTGAGTGATTCCACAGGTGGCGGCTGTAGGTGGGCACAGTGCCATGTGCTGTGATCCTCAGAGCTGTGGGATTGGGTTTTGGGAATTCCATGCCCTCGGGATTTGGTATCTCACATCCAGACCCTCTTTTCAATCATCTGATTTTCTTTCTTTCTTTCTTTCTTTGGAGAGATGGGGTCTTGCTATGTTACCCAGGCTGGTCTTGTACTCCTGGCCTCAAGAAAGTCTCCTTCCTTGGCCTCCCAAAGTGCTAGAACGATAGGCGTGAGCCACTGTGTCTAGCCAATGATCTGAGTTTAAAACAAATACAATAAAGTAGCAGCCTTCCGCATTCAATCCTTGTTCATGCCGAAGCAACAGCGAGATTCCTACTGAGACACAACCCCCTTTCTCTCTTCTGACCCCCCAAATTTGTAACTTTTTTGGAAGGGGCAATTACTTTTTTCTTTCTTTCTTTCTTTGGAGACAGGTCTTGCTCTGTCACTCAGGGTGGAGCGCCATGGCGTGATCTCAGGTTGCTGCAACCTCCGCCTCCTGGGCTCAAGTGATCCTCGCCTCAGCCTCCCCAGCAGCTGGACTACAGGTGCACACCACCACACCCGGCTAATTTTGGGGTTTTTTTGTAGAGACAGGCTTTTGCCATGTTGGTCAGGCTGGTCTTGAATGCCTGGCCTCAAGTGATCCATCCACCTCAGCCTCCCAGTGCTGGGATTATAGGCGTTAGCCTCTGGGCCTAGCTTGGGAGCAGCAATTATTTGATGGCGCTTGTTGGTTTTCCAACATCAACAATGAACATCACAATGAAATGACAGATGACACAATACGAAGTTCCCAATCCTTAAGAATTTTGGTCAGATATCTAGGAACGTAGAGATTTAAGAGAATGGGTGTCTCAATATCAAAGGATATTTCAGTAAGAAGAGAATTTCTCATGACAAGAGAAGCACGTAAAGACTAGGATGGAAATGAAAAATGAAGTAAAAAAAATCCTAAAACACTCAAGCTGAAGAAATGAAGTGTCGAAGGAGTAATGTCACCTATTTACTCTCTCAACCTAGGGTTTTTTTTTTTTTTTTGAGATAGAGTCTTACTCTGAAACCCAGGGTGGAGGTCAATGGCCCAATCTCAGCTGACTGCAACCTCTACCTCCCAGGTTCAAGTGATTCTCCTGCTTCAGTCTCCTAGCTGGAATCATGGGCAACTGCCACCACACCTGGTCAATTTTTGTATTTTTAGTAGAGACAGGGTTTCACCGTGTTGGCCAGGCTGGTCTCGAACTCCTGACCTCAGATGATCCACCACCAGCCTTGGCCTCCCAAAGTGCTGGGATTACGGGTGTGAGCCACTGCATCTCGCCCATCTAGGTTTTTTGTAAGCCTCAAATAACTGTTTTGTACAGCTTTCCCTTGTAAAAAGCACAGCACATGATTTGCACCTGATACTTGCCAATCAATTACAATGACAATAAAATTACACTACAAAAGCATCAAAAAAAGTTACCCCTTTTGGCTGCCTGAAAAGTACTAATAATAAACTTTTCTCTTTAAATTTCAACACTCACTCTTAAGAAAGGGAATGCCAAACGCTCCTACATTTCCATACCAACCAGCTCGGAAAACTCCTCTGTGAGACCTAATCAGAGGGAACTGGTCCATGCGCCCCCTGCTGGTCCTGCCGTAGCACTGATCCAATAAAACCCCACAGGGTTTTAGGAGGGATATTCATGCAAGAGTGGTATGTCAGAATGCGAAATGAGAACATTTGCATATAGTAGGCCCAGCCAGAAAGGGAATAGGTTAATTAGCCCAAGGCACCACCGGGGAAGAAAAAGCAGCGGCATAAAAGTCCTTTCAAAGCCAAGTAAAATGTCAAACACATTCAGGAATAGGTCTATTAGCAATGCAAATGTAACACTGCCGGCACAATTGAAAGCACAATACACAAAACTAGAAAACTCCTCTGAAGGTACTTCTTTAAGAAGCCAGCTTTCGTAAACTTGGGGGGAAAAATGCTGATTTGCTTCTCAGTAGCACTGAGGTTTAATTATGCTGTTTATTTGAGAGACGTCTGCTTCGTCGGCCCCGAAGACTCACTGGTCTTCTGCTAATGATTGCTAAGACATACTGGCTTTAACACACAAATCCAAATTTATTCTTCTGAAAAGTTATCCATTGATAAACAGCATCTTTTCCAGAGACTGCCAATGAGAAATCAAGGACATGATGATTAAGGCAGAAGCTGCAGGGACCTGGGGCCAAACTGATACAAATTTCTACCCCTCCGCCTCCTACATTTAGGATTATTGACCAGGGCAGCACGGAGCGGACAAGGCTCTCCAACGCAGACGAATGTGTCCCTTCTCTGGAACCTGTAAGTGTTTAGTATTGTTAAGGGGAAACCGGAGAGTAGAGATTGGGTCTTGCTGTATTTTCAATGAACCACCAGAGGGCGCCCCAGGATGGTACCACATTCCTGGTCTGCTGGGTGATGATTTATGGGACTAAAGCACAGAGAAGTAACTTACGAAGGTGGAAAAGTACAGTAGGAAAATAAGGAAGAAAGAAAAAGAAAAGAAAGAAGAAACTAGCAAAAGGAGAGTGGGATTTCTGCTCTTAGAGTCTCTAGTTGTAGACAACTGGCCTCTGTGTCCTGAATCGACCCCCCAGGGGTCCCTGAAGAGTTTAACTCTGGAAGCGTCTACCACAGCAGAAAGATTTCTTCCAAACATGGGGCCATGCACAATTATGTCAATGCCAAGTTACCAGTGAGCTACACGTGCAGATCGCACTGTTTCAACCTTACCCTGGAAAAGGGAAATCGGAGGGGGAGTTAATAGATGAATCAAGACAAATGTACTTGGGGTTTGCTACCTATGGTTTGCCCGAAAATCACCGTTCTGAGTACATTCATCTTAAGCCGCTGTATAGCGACACTCTCTATCTCTCTATCATCCTTTCTAAATTTAGCCCAGTAGTATAAGGCCTCGCTAGTCGAAGTGTGGTCCTCCGACCCGTGACATCAGCATCCTTGGCAAGTTTGCTGGAAATGCAGAATCTCAGGCCCCACCCAGACCTGCATTTTAACAAGCTACGCATGGTAAGGTTTGAGGAAGCCTCGTATCTCTCAGGGTAAATTTTCTGCTGCTGAACTCTTATGCAGATTAAACACCTCTAGCCTCTTCCTGATG